TGCTCTTCAACCCGAAAGCTGTGGCATTTCGGTTTGGTGGAGGTTTTCTAACAAACTACTACAGGTTATATTTTATGATATGTTATGAAACGTCGGATGCGGGGACTTGGGAGCCCAAGCTTTTATTAAGATTATGAGTGTTTTTAAGATGATTGACTTTATTAATTTATTAATTTTTAAAATAATTAATCGAAATAATTAAAAATATCAATTAATTAATTAATTTTATGTTTCAAATAATAAATATAAACCGTTTTATGTTTATCACCTAACAACTAAACCTAAGATTATTAGTGAGTCAAGTAGTTGACAAGCCATTCCATTCAATCTCTCAATTCATTTGCTAAAACAGAGCTGGAAGATGTAAAATCAAATCGTCTAAATATTTAAATTGTATTTATAATGTAGGTCCTACGTTATCTTGTTATCCATTATGTGCTACGAATTGGATATTTTCATATTAGTCTAAATTGAAAAAATAAACTCTTCTGGACAGTCGAATTCCTAGATACAGTAATAAAGAAAAGTCTTGTGGACCGTATTATAGATGAATTTCCAAGAAATTTTTTAATGAATTAACGTACCAAAATAGCGCAAGGTTCATGTATCAGTTTGTTTACACTATAAATTATAAAAATTTAAAATTATATTATGTATCAAATATTTTTAGTGGATAGAAGTGATTTAGTCATTTCAGATGTACAATTTTAATCCCTATAACAAATCAAGTGTCACATAAAAAAAAAAAAAGTTGAAAACATGAGATTTTATCTTTTGGTTACTTATTTGAATTACATTGGGATTGTTTTAGTTGGTTTTAGGAGTTAGCTTCAGTTAAAGACGTGAACTAGGTGATAATGAGACATGTAGCGAAATCTAGATGGAATTCTAACTCAATTATGAGATGTTCAACTTCTTCAAGAAATTGCCCATATTCAAGTAACTATATGGAGTAAGGAGTCTTATACACAACTCGATAGCCAACCTTATATACAACTTAACAAACTTTTAGATTTCTAGTTTTTTTAGTCATTGCTCACTTTAACTTATAGATTTTGGTTTCTAACACAATTCCCAATAGATTTAAGTTGTTTTTTATCGTTCCAGTAGCTAAATTAGTTTGTGTACTTGCTTCAACAATTTTGTTTCATGTAATGAACATCAAGCTTTTAAATTTTTATAAAGTACTATTCTTTTTCTGACTGGCATTAGTTTAATATTTATAATAAGTATTGTTTCATCAAATGATTACTTATATAATGTTCACACTTCTTCTCAATTTCAGGCATGTTAGTTTAGTCCCTATTCATATTTGTTTTAGTGTTATTTAGGGTTAGATCTCCAAATTTGTAGTAATATAATTTTTAGATCTATTTATAGATAGCAATTTAATTTGACAATGAATTTATTTAATTTAATTTGCGTACATCTTATTTTTGCAAGTTTATTTTAGTTTGCATTTTGTATAATTTGTTTAGGGTCTTTTAACTTAAGTCCATAATAGTGTTTAAGTTTTTAGAGTTGTTTAAAGCAAATTTAGTAATCTATTCTGCAAGAAGGTATTACTCTCTCTTACAAATCATTTGTAGGCACAAATTTTAACTAAAAAGCAACGTTCTTCCCACCATTCGCAAGGAGATCAACGATGAGAAAGGAGAGGATCGCTGGGAAAATCGTTTTTTCTTATTTTCAGCAAAGTAAGTGACATGGTTGCATTCAAATTTTGTACGTGTAAAGTCACTTGAGGATTTTTGAAGAAAAACATTTGTTAGATGCATTTAATATTTTTGT